AAAGATTTACTTGACCTAACAATGGTTGAGTAAGTTATCCAGAAAAGAATGGAATTGAAATTGGAAGAGTTGTTTTCGGTGATGAATTCACTCCTGAAAATATTGTTAAAAGTTTTGGTAGTGAAGCATTAAATTATGAAGAGGCTTTTGGTTTTACTTACAAGAAAATGAAGAATTAAAAGTAAAGGATGCTCTTCTAGAAAAAAAGGTTGTTGAGTTTATACATGCTGCCCAAATCCCAAACTATTTGAGATTGTGGCATCCCAAATGCACAAATTAAATTCGTGACAGCCTACTGAAAGATTCCCAAATCCCAAATGTAGATCAGTTTTCCTGCTCAACCAATAAGCACCCAGAATTTGTGAGTGTGATATATGATCCCTTTATTATCCTGGATGCTTATTGGTCAGAAGAGCAAGTACAAGGATTTGATCTACATTTGGGATTTGTACATTTGGGATGCACAAATTAATTTGGGATTTGGGATTCTGAATTTTTAATTTGGGCAGCATCTATAGTAGCAGTAGTAATGGTAAAAGTTGAATTTTTGTCAGAGTGCCCAAAGAATAGGTAATACTTACAAATGGCTTGGGTCTGGGTATTTTCCTCCCATGCAAGTGCTCTGGCAATTATTTAACTATATTTTTATAAATTATTTATGTATTATTAATTGAATTAAAATAAAAATAATTTTCTTTTGTCGTTTAATTCATTTGTCCGTAAAAAAAATTTTTTTTTAATTCCAAGTCATGTGCCCACTAATTTATCATTGGTCGAAATCATGCATAAATTGTAACAATTACAATCTAAATCAATAAAAAAAAATTTTTTTAAAACAATTTATTTTTTTTTTTTAACAAAATGGCAAGTATTGAAAAAATTGAAGAAGATAAAAGAAAGGCAGAAGGGTGGTATGAAGAGGCAACGAAGAAGTTGAATGATTGGGAGGAGGGAGAGTTTAAAGGGGTGATGTTGAATGAGTTGAGGGTGAAGTTGGTTAGGAGAGGATATGAGGATGATGTACAGAAGAAAAAGTGGAAAGAGATGGTAAAAAAGTTAGAAGAAGAGAAGAAATTGTTAGAGAAGGAAAAAGGCGAGAGGTGGAAGCAGGTGGAGGAGTGGGGGGAGGCATTGAGGAAGTTCGGTGGAGGGGAAGGTAATGAAACAAATTGAGTAAAAAAAAAAAAAATTATTTTTCGTTCATTCCATTTCGTTTTATTTGTTTATTTGCTTGTATGATAATTTGGTATATTGTATACAACATTGACTGACTTCTGTTTTTTCTTTTTATAAAATGAAAAATATACCTACCTAATTATTTATTCTGTATGGATTTACTTCCATAAGGTAAGTTTCAAGTTTCTTTTTCAAGAAATTATATTACATTTTTTTAAAAAAGTCCTTTTATCACCTCTAATTGGAAGTGTATATAATGCATCTTTTTTGTTTTTATTTTATTTTGTTTATTTTATTAATGACTTTTTTTGTCATGTTGCTTTCTCACTTTGAACAGGTAAAAAAGGTAAATCATATTAATGTCTCTTAATCAATCAACATACTTATATTTTACTACTTAACAAATTCCTAAATTATTTTTGGTTTGTTTTGTGATTCTTGTGTTTTTTTTTAAATTGCAAGTAACATTATTTATTAAAAATTTGGTCACATTACTATTATTATCATTGATAATTCTTAACTATAAACAAAATAATATAATATAATAATAATTCTCACAATCTGGTTATCTTTGAATAATAGTGAAAAGTAACATATTTAATAAATCTTTTACAAATGATTAAAATCTAAGTAAATTATTTTCGTTACTAATTTCATCACATAACTTATTTTCTAATAAATTTGTTAATTAAACAACCACTACCACCTTGACTGCTTTAAATCAAAAGATTTATTATTGTTATTATGGTATAAGATAGCTTTGTAAGAATCCTGTTCCATAACAAGGCAGTAATGATTACTATCTTGTGGAAAATTTTTCCAAGCAGCAGATGATCCTTTTATGCAAAAATCAATAACTGCCCAATCATTCATCTCTATCCCACTATATCTTTTTCCAGGTTGAAATCTTTCAGAATGTTCTTTGAGTTTTTTCCCATCCCTAAGAAGTTCAAAAGCCCATTTGAATTGATCATTCAGGTAAAAGTCAACTGCCCCTGTAAGAAATGACATGTTTAGAAATTTTGACAATGATAAATAAGTATGATGGATGATAGTCTTTGTTTTCCTTTACCTTTCACACCAAAGTAAGTACCAACATCAGAGCTCAATCTTGCTGGCATAATCATCCAAGCACTACAATAAAATTCATTCTGATAAATCCTTTCTATATAACTCCCATTTACATTCCTAGAAAAGGTAGATCTTAACAAACTTCCATCAAAATTCTCTAACACCTTGTACACAAATTCTGTTATACCCTCTTGTTCAACTTGAGATAATGATGGCAGAAGACATGGAGATGGATGGATAAAATTTTTGATGTATTCTTTTCGGTAAAACTGTTCAACAATAGGACAACTAAAAAATAGATTTAATCCATCTTCATTAAACACCCCAACTTTCAAAAGAGAACTTAAGAAGTTACTATTAATAGCATTTAAAGGCACATAACCCTTTTGGATAACTTCCTTTAAAATATTCTGTAATTCACTTAAATTTATTCCTGTATAATATCTTTATATTTATCTTTAGTAATAGTTTTATCATAATTTTTATATTTTATTATGCATTATATTATTATTTCTTATTTAAGGACGGACCAGGACTAAAGTCCCGGAACCCCTACTATTATACTTTACTTATTTATATTTAACGAAAATATAAACATAGGCCATAAGAGTAGTCATGAGTACATTCGTAGAATTCTTAGAAACTTTGGATTATAAATTGAATGTACCAATCATTAGAAAAATTACTTGTTATATCCAAAATTTCGTCTATAGTAAAAGAGATTAGCTCAAGAAATACTTAGAATAGAAATATTGAAATGTAATGAACAAAAGCTATAAAAACGCTCTTAAAATTACCTTTGTTCAATATCATCCTTCGTGGGATTCGAAAAATATAATAATAATAATACAAATTAATAATAAATAATCTTTGACCTAAAAAATTGTTGAGTTTCGCTTAATAAAAACTTTCTATTTTACCTTTAATTAATAACTCCTTTGGAACGCCTTTGGAGAGGGCTTGAAGTGCCGTCAGGATTTGCCAATTTAATAAATACTTTATTTATTAAACGTTTTTGTTAGTCGATTAAGGCTCCGGTTCAACCGGATATTGAAATTTAGAGTAGATATCAATTGGGAAGTCCAATTTAAATATTGGCAGTGTTTGTAAGTCACTGATACTTATTTGATTTAGTTTATTTAGTTCGTGATCACATATTTGAGAAATCTGTTGTGGATTCAGCAGTCGGAATATACATTCTGTTGAGATTTTGTTATGGTTAACCAATAAATTTTAGGACACGTTAAGATATTTGACTTCACAGTCAAATAATTTATTTGAGATATATAATTTATTGTACAACGAAAGGACCACTCACGTGGAACGTAACGTCACTGATTATTTCTATAGTATATATCTCTTGTATATACCGTTGTATAATTAAGTATATACCCAAGGATTTTGATATACCATCCCGGATATCATTTTATTCACAATATTAAAAGTTCATAATTGTCAATTTAAGATAAAACTAAACTAGACACAATATA